TGAACGCACCATCCCGTCTCCCTAAGTGGGCCATTTGAAGTAGCCTAATTTGCTTAGTGTTGCTCATGACCCGGCCCATTACCTTGGACGGCTCTAGGTTTTGAAGCCAATTTATTGGTACTTATTGGGCCACTTTACTTTGACCTAGAAGCCCATTTAGGTTGGCTTATAAGTGGGTTAGTTTCTGTTATCTTGCCCTAGTGTGAATTGATTGTTGGAGCTATGAGTGTGAGAATTGAGAGAGAAGAGAGTTTCGCTTTGTGCTTCCTCTTGCTTTGTGCTAACTTCTCCTCCTTCTTCTTTTAGCCTTAGTGGCTAGTTAGGGCTGCCAAATATCATTCACCGTACTCCTTTGTGGAACTTGAAGCAACTGGTTATTTGGGTGGTTGTAGCTTTGGGGATATTTGGTTGTTCATTGTTGGTGTCGATTTGTGGTTTACTGAGCCCGATTTCTTGAAGATATTGAAGCCAAAATCTCAATAGAATCCCAAATGGGCAAATATGTAGGGTCGTGCAAATTTGATATTCCTTCTATGGACATTATCATTTCTGGTCGTGTTTTATGCATACACCTGTGACAAATGACACTGCAAATTATGTTTTTCCAGCTGAAAATGCCAATCGTATGACAGATATTTAGCTTTGCTCTTGGTAGGTTCACAAACATAGTGTTCTTTAACAATTGTTTATTCTCAGGATAACAATGATTTTATTGAAAAGAGTTGGGAGGACAATGAGAAAGTGCAGGCCAGACACCTTTTTTCCGACAACCAGTGCTTTCACATTTCATGCTTAATGTGTTTACGGAATCTATATGCAGATGAAAGACATAATTTTAAGTGAAGCTGTTCAACGGGGCCTTGAGTCTCCGGCATACAACATTGGTCGATACGGTCCAAATGTCGAGATGGCTATGCATCATTTTCATTGTCTGCTCTACGAAACTCTGAGCAGCTGATTTTCATCCAAGTTTTTTTCTTCTCAGGCACAAGTTTCTGTACTAGAATTTGTAGCTTACTCATAAAAAATTGCTCTGTGGTTCGTGCAGATTAGTCTGTGTCTGGCTAGATAGATCCCAAGGCCAGTTGGTACCTGTGCATGTGTGCATCACTGTTTTGCTAATGTAGTAAATTTCGAGAATCGATCTGGAACTAGGCCAGTTTGTCGATTTCAGAGTGCATATTGTGCTCTGATTTCTGTTAAATGAAATGATTGCAACCTAACCAATCAACCGTTGGGTGATTTCTTTGAAGCCATTTTTCCACGTGAAACGGTGATGGCGTATTTGATATGTGGTGAAAGCACTAGTCAGTACTCTTGAGTTCTTTAGTAATGTCTAGAATGCCAAAGGTACCTACGAAACATCCAAATTACCACAATACTACAAAACCTGACCATGAAAAGCCGAGCCACCATTTGCCTGCCCGAGTCAAGCTCCTTCAAACATTTTCGACCCTTGTCATACTTCAAATTAAGTGAATCCAATTCATACGTCCAATAGCTACTTTTTTCTTTAACAAACTTCATATAAAACATTGGTTCCAACATGGAATTGTAGGATGCAGTAACCCTCTCTCCTGGGGTTCCAGAGATCCTTGAGAAAGAGGATCATTTTACTGAAATGCAGCCAAAGAAATGCTATGAATGCTCTCCCGAGTCCTTTGAGCTTCATACCAATAAGGATGAAATTAGTCCTGCACCATCTCCCTAACGAAATGTACAAGCGAAAAGGTCCCCCAAGTGGAATCAAAATTTTCCTGGAGAAGGATTTGTGCCACCTTTGAGCATGGCTGCAGAATCCCCAAAATGTGACACTCAATTTGAGACTAATGTTGCCTCGAGGGATCCACCCATTGAAATAGTGATCACAACTACCCTAACTGACAGTTATTCAAATGACAAGTGAAACTGAATCAACCAAAGATCAGTTGCATAAGGCACGCAGAATACACCATCCAAAATGGTATTACATGCATGATGAAGTCAGCAAATGTTAGCGAATGTTACTTTTCTGTATGGCTGATGACAATAGATTGCCCTGTTTACCGGGACTATGGAATGAAATCAACCCTCCAAAATCATTGCTAAAACAGCATAATAAGCATCAACACAAATAAGTGGATTCTGAATGCAAAATTCTGTAGAATAGGCAACCATCCAACAATTATTGACAAAACAGCATAAAAACCATTCAACATACACAAATCAATCAGTTGCAGAATGCAAAAATCTATGTAACTGTACTTACATAAAAATAATTTCTTGATCATTTATATCACATTAGTTGATAAGAACACATTAAAACTTCACTGTATAAACAAAAGCAACTCCGTATTTTCAGCATGGAAATGTACAAGTCAGTTTGATGGAAGACTAAATACTTAAAATCGCAAGGTTAGATTTGAGCTATGCTGATCCGTATCTATCCAAAAGTTAGCTATTATTGCACCCCACCTACGGAAAAAGATGAGCCGGAAGCCGTCTTTTTCCACTTGCTCAGTATTTAACCTGGATAACACAAGAAGATCAAGTCAACTCGTTGTGATGAAGAAGCGCATATTCCCCTCATGTTCAACTCCCAAAAGGTTTTCTTTACCTCTTGATTCTCTTTCTTTACGTATTTGCTTCATAAAAAAATCACTGAAAGGTCTCTCTGGGACAGGAATTAGCTTCCCAACAATGACTAGAGGCCAGCTGATCAAGAAAAAATGAAAGTGGATTTTCATATCAGATACGAGAGTAATACGAGGACATCCACATAGTGATGCAATTATAGACCCAACAACACCTTTTTAGGATTAATGCTGTTCAAACAAATGGAGCCAACAATATTATTTATTCATTAGTAATTGAAGCTACAGCAATGGAGAGTATTTATAGAAGAGAAAGAGGGAAAATGAAAAACGAACTAACCAAACTATTCTTATTACAAAGGAGGACCTAAACTATGTAAGAAGATCAATTAAGTCCATGAGGAATAATTTGTATATAACTTGTACATCCCCCCCTCAAGTTGAAGTTTGATGAAAATCTATCAAACCCAACTTGGAACTCAAAAATTTGAACTGAGGAAGGGAGAGAGACTTCGTGAAAACATCTGCAAGTTGAACACTGGAAGACACATGTTGTGGTAAAATGAGACCAGCCTTGTATTGATTTCGAACCACATGACAATCAATATCAAGGTGCTTCGTGCGTTCATGAAACAATGGGTTAGCACTGATATGGAGAGCAGCCTGGTTGTCACATGAAAGAGGAATAGGAAGCTGAAGCTTGATGCAAAAATCTTGAAGGAGATATGTGATCCATTGAATTTCACAAACAGTTGCAGCCATGCTACGATACTCGGCCTCTGCAGAGCTTCTAGAAACTGTTTGCTGCTTCTTCGATTTCCAGGAAATCAAAGCACCACCCAAAAAAATACAATAACCAGTTAAGGACTTCCTAGAGTCAGAACAAGAAGCCCAATCTGCATCACAGTAAGCGGCAAGTTGGAAACTGTTGGAGGAAGGAAAGAAAAGACCCTTTGACATAGTTCCTTTAATGTATCTTAGTAAGTGCAAAGCAGAATCCCAGTGTGAAACGGTAGGAGAGTGAACAAACTGACTCAGCTGCTGGACAGCATAAGACAGATCCGGCCTGGTAAGATTGAGGTAAAGTAATCTACCAACAAGTCGGCGATACTGATCTGGCTGTTGAAAAGGAACACCACCAGTAGTAAATTTATGCCCCTTTGGCAGTGGAATATCCACAGGTTTTGATCCCATCAAACCAACATCTGCAATAATATCCATAGCATATTTTCGTTGGTTAAGGTACAAACCATCTGAGCATCGTGCTATCTCAATTGCCAAAAAATATTTAGCAAGGCCTAGATCTTTTATGGTAAAGGTAGTGTCAAGGAAATTCTTGACTTTCTGAATTTCACTTCCATCCGTTCCAGTGACGAGTACATCATCCACATACACTAGAAGAACTGTAAAGGAGTGATCTGAACGAAGAATGAATAGACAATTATCGTGTGCAGACTGTGTAAAACCATACAATTGCAAGTGGTTACAGAATTCTAAATTCCACTGTCTACTAGCCTGCCTTAAACCATAGAGAGACCTTTTTAGTTTACATACTTCACCCTCCTTAACTTTCTTATAACCTTCTGGAGGCCACAGATAAAGTTCTTCTTCCAGAAAACCATGCAAGAAGGCGTTATTAATATCCAACTGGTATATAGGCCAATCCTTTGCACATGAGATGGAGAAAAATAACCTGATTGTCACTGATCTTGCCACAGGGGAGAACCTGTCAACATAGTCAACTCCAGCCACCTGATTATACCCCTTCGCCACTAGCCTAGCTTTACATTTGTCCAGAGATCCATCAGGCTTCAATTTTGCCTTATAAACCCACTTCGATCCAATAAGGGTTTTTCCTTGAGGCAGGGGAACAATTTCCCATGTCTCATTTTGTTCCAATGCTGCAATTTCATCGTCCATAGCTTGAATCCATTCAGTCATTGTGCTAGCCTCTTTATAGGTTTTTGGTTCTTGGATTGTAGATATGTTAGCCAAAAAATGATAGTAGCTTGGGTTGAAACTTTCAGATTTATGAAAATGATAGGTGTTAGGGGTGTGTGAAGAAGATTTTAATATACAGGAAGAATCATCAGGTATAGGAATAGAAGGAGAATGTGACAAGTTACTTACAAAATCCTGCATCCAAGCAGGGGCTGTTTTCTATCTGGTACTCTTTCTAGTATGAGGAAAGACCTGATGATGAACAGTTTCATCTAATGAGGAATGTGTGGAATCATCAGATCGACTTGCCTGTTCCTGACTGAGTTTATAAGTAGCCGCAGGTAGACTAACATCAGCAGAACCATTAAATGAAGGTTGAGTTTCATTTTGATTGTCAATTTGAACAATGATAGAAGGATCATCATCAGAGGAAAAATCAGACACAGGTAAAGGTGTATGATGCTGTAAATTGGACACCCTTTTATAAGGAAAAACATCCTCATGAAATATAACATCTCGAGACACGAAAACTTGTTTATTGATGAGATCAAACAATTTAAAACCCTTTTGCCCTGTGTTGTAACCAAGTAAAACACTCTTAAAACTCCTTGGGGCAAATTTTTCTTTAAAAGGCTTAGTATTAGTGGCATAACACAAGCATCCGAAAACCCTTAAGTTGTGATAAGTAGGCATCTTTTTATGTAAAATTTCATAAGGAGTTTTCCAATTAAGTAAGGCAGTAGGCAGCTTGTTAGTAATATGTGTAGCCATTAAAATAGATTCTCCCCAAAAACATTTTGGTAAATTTGACTTGAACATGAGAGCTCTAGCTACTTGCAAGAGGTGCTTATGTTTCCTCTCAACAATACCATTTTGTTGAGGCGTATAAGGGAAACTCTTTTGATGATGAAGACCATTCTCAGCCAAAAAATTTTTCAATTCAAAATTTGTAAACTCGGTTCCATTATCGGTCCTCAAACATTTTATGTTTTTATCAAATTGAGTTTTCACCATTTTGTGCAAATTTTTCAAAATAATAAGAACCCGAGTCTTATGTTTGATTAAAAAAGTCCAAGTTCCTCTACTAAAATCATCTACCACAGTTAAGAAGTAATGTGCTCCACAAATAGATCGATATTTGTATGGTACCCATAAATCTACATGCAAAATGTCAAATATTTCAGATGTTTTAATCTCACTACTGCTGAAGGATAGTCTATGTTGTTTAGAAAAAGCACACACATCACAAGGCGAAAGGATTTCTTTGTTGAATGAACTCATCATCTTTAGGTTTTTCATAACATTTCCAGAAGCATGCCCTAGCCTTCTATGCCAAAGAAAAACTGAATCTCTTCTGGTTTCATTACTGTCACCAAGAGAGGAATTATTTGAAAAAGAAACATTACAGTTAATAGAAACGAAGGATTTAATGGTTGAAGCACATAAAGAATTCTCATCAAGAACATAGAGGTTCTTTATCAGCCTTCCTACAGCTATTATCTCCTCAGTCAACAGGTCCTGCAAGAGGCAATGATCCTTCATGAAGATAAATTTCAGCTTTAAGGCCTTGGTTAATCTACTCACTAACAAAATGTTAAATCTGAAGGTAGGGATATGAAGAGTGTCAGTGAGGATGAGATTTTTATGTAGATGAACACTTCCAAAATGTTTAACAAAATTTATAGTGCCATCGGGTAGAAAAACTGGAATGTTATTGTTAGCAGGTGTAGGATTTGTCAAGGATGAAATGTCATTACACATGTGATTAGAGGCTCCAGTATCAACAATCCATGACCTAGATCCTATAAAATTGGAAGCATTTAGAGCATAATTAAATTCAAGTTTAAGAACTGAACCTGCAAAGTCATCAATATGAGCAAAATTTACATTGCCTCCACTGCTTGTTTCTTTTCCATTCACCATCTTCCTAAGCTCTTGTTTGACAATATCTGAAATATTCATACTCTTGTATTGATCTTCTAATCCTCTAGCATTTACTTCACTTCCCATTTCAAGTGGTGAATCTGCCATATATGCAGAGAATTTTCCACCAGATTTCCTGTTCTGCTCATTCAGCTGTTTGAACCAATCCGGATATCCAATCAATTTAAAACAACAGTCTCTGCTATGTCCTGAGGTATTACAGTGTGTACAAATTTGGTTCCTCTTATCCTCCTTACTCATGTCGAGCTTTCTACCAAATCCTCTGCCTCCTCCAAGTTTTCTATAACTTTGAGCTTTTACATTCATAGCACTGATTTCATTGTGTTCTCCATAGGATATCTGAATCTCTCTCTGTTTTTCCACCCTTTGAATCATAGAATAGGCTTTATTAACTGGTGGCAAAGGTTCCATAACTAGGATCTGACTTCGAGTGTGTTCAAATTCATCGTTCAATCCCATGAGAAATTGCATAAGTCTATTAAACGAAGTTATTTCTAATATTGATTTGCCAGAATCACAAGTGCATTCAGGTATAGGCATTAAGACAGTCAATTCATCCCACAGTCTCTTCAATTTTGTGTAATATTCTGAAATACTCATATTACCTTGAGAGATAGAGCTAATTTCTCGCTGGATCTGGTATGGGATAGGACCATTACACATTCCAAATCTCTCTTCAATTTCCATCCATAATTCCCTAGTAGTGTTGGTGTATAAAAAAGCTTTAACGATCTCCTTCGAAATCGAGTTCAGTAACCACGAGGTAATCATATAATTGACTCTCTACCATTTTTCATAATTCGGCGAAGTCTTCTCTGGTACTTCAACACTTCCATCGATTAGCCCTAACTTCATCTTAGCTCCAAGTGCAATTTTTATAGATCTACTCCAAGCCAAAAAAATTTTTCCAGTCAAAGGCGCTGTCACTAATGTCATTCCTGGATGATCTGAGCTATGAAGGAATAGCGGATCTGAAGAATTTATTTCAACTTGCCTTCCATTTCCTTGATTCATCTGGTCGTACCTGAGTTCTTCATGAAGCAGATCGACATTTCGATTTCCGGCCATGGCAGCTCTATCCTGAGCTCAACCTCCTTATCCTTTACTTAATTCATAGCTCGTAGCACTGAAATTTCAGATTCCATGAGGAATAATTTGTATATAATTCGTACAAATGCAACCGTCAATGACTTAAGGTCAAGAAATAGTATCTTCAACATCTATCATTATAAAAGTATTAACAAATCCGATAGACTATCAACTAAAATAATGTACAGTTGAGAAATACCAGCTAAAAGTTGTAAGCCAAAATGCCAAATATTGGGAAACGAACCTGATTATACCGATGACAACGGAAACAAGCCACAATTTCCAACTGAGTCTAACTGTTGAACTAAACTTCCCAAGAAAAAATATTATGATGACGTGAACAGCAAGAGTAGATTTATAAATTTCAAGATATTTTGGGGCATCTTGTACAAGAAAGAGCAAAATAAGATAAATAACATGAAGAACCACTGTAAGCCCAACTATTCCCATGAAAAGACGGTTTTTAGTAACCCCTTTCCACACATTGATCTCATCAGGCTTTCTAGCATTCAACTCGTTGAATATCTATAATTATAAACAAAAGAAATTAGGTAAAGTACGCAGTTTAAAAATTGGCAAATTAAAGATAAAAGTTTCAGAGCAGCTTCAGCGAAATGATTTCAACTAGATTAATATTTAAACTTAAAAACATAACAAAGTGGAGTCATCCCAAGTTTTGCATATTCGATCCCATCATAGACATCACACAGATTCATGTTCTTCAATATTTTGTTGACAATATCAGAACAACATACATATTGTGAGACAAAGAATCCTCAACTCTTCACTTGCCGGTCAAGTGTAACAAAATCAGAAAAATCTGCTACAAATCTACCGAGCAGGGGCAAAAATATGATAACTAGATACATAATTTCGACTGTGATCAACCCATCATAGACATCACACAGATTCATGTTCTTCAATATTTTGTTGATAATATCAGCATAACATGCATATTGTGAGAGAGAGAATCCCCAACCCTTCACTTGCCGGTCAAGTATGACAAAATCAAATGATCATTATTGTAAAAGCAGATTGAATATTCCAATCACAAAAACTGTACATATTAGAACTAGGGGTGGCAAAAAAGCTCGTGGGCTCGGCTATTATTAAAAAAAAAAAAAAAAAAAAAAATTAAATTCAAACTAAAAGCTGTGTGATAATACTCCTGCCAATTATGCGGCTTCTCAACGTGATTAAAATTAATTAAAATATTTATGGAATAAGTAAGTGATTAGTTGTCAATAATAATATTTTATTTGGGTTTAATTTCTGTCCTTAAAATTCACTTTTTCCACGTCCCATAATTAATATGCATAATTTTTTCCTCATTCCATACCCACTTTAGATGCAAAAGATTTAATTCAATTAAGTTTTTAATAGATGCGCCATTAAGCCCCTGTTAAATATAGATTAAAATTCAATTAAAATTTCAAATCAAAATCAAAAATTAATTTTAACTACACATTTCATGAAATCCATAACTTTTATCAAAATCGACTAAAAATCTGATTTCAATCTATGCCAAATATGTGCTAAGTTAAATAGAATGGTAGAAAATAATTTACAACATCAATTTAATCATATATTTCCAAGTTCTCAATTTAATTCTTGTGTAGTTTTGTGATAAGGTAAATATAATATAGCTTGGTTTCATTGTAACTTAGATAACAGTATTAATGAAAAGCGATATTTTGTTGACAACTAAAATATGTGCATTTTGACAAAGTGAATATCGGACAAGTAGATTTCGTAGTGATTATAGATGTTGTTATTAATGGAAAGTAATGTTTGGCCAAGGACAAGTAGACTTCGTATTAATATAGGAAGCCGAAGCAATGTTTGGTTGAGGCCAAAATATGCGTATTATTATGACAGTGAATTTGGTTGAGGACGTCGATTCAATTAATAATGTAGAATATTTATGGAATTGGTTAGAAGTATATATATG